GACACAGATGGCTGCGCGGGTGTCCTGTGGCCCCAGGCCGTGTGGGCACAGCAGATGGTGACGCCGCCGCCCGCACAGAGAGCAGGTTAGGTCTGCTTTGGGGACACGCTGATCCTTTTCTCTCACCCATGGTCACTGCCTCTGCCTGCCCCCTCAACAGTTCCGTGAAGGCCCAGGAGATGACCAGAGTCCCATTGTCGCATCTCCTTGAGATTTTTACACTTCCTGTTTCTGCATTTTAACTTCCTTAAAGACAGAACTCTTTAACCACTAACTAAAAACAGCCCCAGTGGTGCTGGGAGGTAGGCAGAAGCTTTGCCGGGTGGCTGAGAGGGAGGCAGTGCCGCCTGGCCCTTTGGCCAACGTGCCCCACGCCAGGTCGACTGGTCCAGCTCCTTAAGTTAATTCACAGCAGGCCGGTGACCTGGGGGACGCAGCGGGAAACCTTCTCGGCAGGAGGCTGACTTGTGCCCACCTGTAGTAGTGACCCATCACAGCCCTGAGCATGAAAGTGTTAGTCGGTCGGTCGTGTCTGACTCTTTGCGACCCCATGGACTGTAGCCCACCAGGCTCCTCTGTCTATGGGACTCTCCAGGCAAGAATACTGGAGTGGGTAGCCATGCCCTCCTCCAGGGGATCTTCCTGATCCAGGGATTGAACTCAAGTGTTCTGCATAGGCAGGCAGATTCTTCTGAGCCATGAGGGGCACCTCTGTAACCACACGCTGCTCCCCATCAGGCTCGAGCAGAATCCTTCGTGTGTGACCTGGCTTGACCCCCACGCTGTCAGCATCACTCCCACGGCCTCAGACCATTGGGGGCTAACTCTCATTTTGGTGCTCAAGTTGCAAAAATGATCATGTCTCCCCCCTGCCTCCGCCCCACCCGCTGATATCACTAATTAATCACATAAGTCACTGAGCTAAGAAGGCTGGCTTTATCTTGCTATGACTTTTGGTTTACCAGGAACTGTGTATTATGAGCTTTGGCTTAGAAATCTAATAACACCAGAGGGCTCAATAAATCACGTCGGTTTATTATCAGGTTTCAAAAGCGCAAAGTGCAGGGCTGTGCCGTGACTGTCGTGTTCCAAGCTGCTGAGAATTTTGGAGTTGATCACATCTCACTGAGGACAAAGCCAAGGGCGTTTTCCCTGAAGCCATGAAGTCAGCAAGCAGGAGTGACGGCTGGTCCTCTGGACTGGAGTGTCCGTGCCTTTAGGACCTGGTGGGGCCTCGCAGGCCCTGGGCCTGGGTGTGGGGAGTGTGTGGTCTCAGGTTCGGCACTGACTCTCCTGTGGATGAATAGAACCATCATTCCTACACCTCGAAAGCCGTCCATGTGGAGAGCTGTCCCCACCTGCCTCTCCGGTACCCACAGCTGGTCCAGCACCATGGACTTGCTGGCCCTTGAGCAGTTCAGAGCCGACCTGTGTGCTGGCTCTCAAATGCAATACACGAGAAGCTTTATTAACAATGAATTGACTTGGGAAAACTTTATTCTGTGGGAAACAAACGTGCGTGTTTGCTTGGGACCCCTGGAGAAGCCTCTGAATGTATGTGGTTACAGTATCTAGGAAATACTTCTGAAGACCGGTAAGCTTTTTAGCAGTTGTTTTCTCTGGTCCTTGAAAGGCTTGCCATTCAAACCGTGTTGCTCCCCAAAGAATCCAGGATTTAGGAAAAGCACTGCCAAGTTTAGAAGACATGAGGACCCATGCGACACTTTTATTTTAGAAAAGAAATAGCCTAGCCTGAACGGAGCAGAGCATCTTACCTGGCTTCAGTGCAGAATTGGTCTCTAATCTTCTGTATAAAAGAAGTCAGCTAATTCAGTGGACTATAAGTAGAAGAGACTATTAGATGTCTTCTCTTTAAGAGTAGTCAGAAAAATGAAGGCCAAATTGCCACCAGGTAGAGTTAAAATACCAGTAACTTTCCTTCACTTTCATCTTTGTCTTCAATTTGTATAATTATTGCAAATATCTTTTTTTTTAAGTTTTATTAAGGTGCAATCGATACACAAAGGACTCTATATAGTAAATGTCTAAAATTTGAGTTTGGGCTTATGCAAACACAAGCGATACCATTCCTACACCAAAGAAATTATACCTTCCAGAAAATAAGATAAATTAAAAAGACATTTTTAGGGACTTCCCTAGCAGTCCAGTGGGTAGGACTCTGCACTTCCACTGCAGGGGACACAGGTTCAAGCCCTGGTCAGAGAACCAAAACCTGGCAAGCATACAGGCATGACCAAAAAATAATTTTTTTAAAAGCCAACTTTGTCATAGCCCAAGATTGGAATTTCGCTCTGGGTCTTTATACAGCACTCATGAGATTTAAGAGAAAACCACCCAGGTGATCAGCTCTTGCACTATTAGAACAGATTTAACAGATGCTTAAAAATACCCCTATGTGTGGCACCATCTCCTCCATAACCAGCTCGGAGACTGTGCCTGTTTTGTTCAAACTGATCTGACAGGGAGTTAAGGTGGCTTCAGAGCCTCGGACATGACTGGTGTTGGACTGGATCAGACAGCTGAGGGTCTCCTGGATCATCATGACCAGCACCAACGATATGGTGTTACTTTTGGTCCAAAACTAAGCGAGCTTCAAAGGTTTTATGGTTTGTTTTTCTTGTGTGAGTCATAGAACTGGCTCAGAAAGGCAGATTCCAAAAGAGAATTTTAGAAAATATTTTGGGCTTTGGTTACGTTGGAATAAGTATTCAACCTTGTAAGGAGACTTGAAAAAGCTCATCAGAACTGATAAATTACAGTAACATCTGTGTAAAACTAGTCTTTCTGTCTCAGTAACATCTTCCATGTTAGCAAAGGATAATTTAAAACCACATTAGGTAGTTCTTCTTCAGATGTTCCACGGGCCTAACAAGTTTGCAGTTAACAGGGTGAGTCACTTCCTATGGCCCAGCCCATGGGCGCAATGAGAGGTTTGGAGAGCAGCACTGGCAAGCTCATCCCCTATTCCTTAGTCACTTTCTTTATTGTGTGTATCTAGGCTGCACAAAATAACCAAACCCTTTCTGGAGAACATCTTACGTCTCAGAATAAGTGTTATGGTCTGTAGAACAGTTTTCCATGTTCTTACTCTAGGAGCGGAAGGATTTGCAGATTTTTTTTTTTTTTTTTTAAATTAAATCCGTATTTAAATTCTCAGAAATCATCAGCTCCCAACAGGGCAGTTTTCAGCAGTACACCACCAAAGTGTTGGAGCTTCAGCTTCAGCATCAGTCCTTCCAATGAATATTCAGGACTGATTTCCTTTAGGATTGACTGGTTAGATCTCCTTGCAGTCCAAGGGACTCTCAAGAGTCTTCTCCAGCACCACAGTTAGAAAGCATCAGTTCTTCAGTGCTCAGCCTTCTTTATGGTCCAGCTCTCACATCCGTACATGACTACTGGAAAAACCAAACCATAGCCTTTTACCAACCTCTCTCATCTATCACGTATCAATTACCTCCTACCTAGCTTTCCCATCACCTGCTGTCTATGATCCACCATCTGCTAGCTGCCAGTCTGTCCTCTGTTTTTAATATTCTGTGGAAACAAGCTCCCTGGAGTCCCTTAGAAGGGGAGAGGGCCTGGTTTTTCGTCCATTCCTGGAGCAGCAGGGTGCCCTGCAGGGCAGCGCCTGCCTCAGGTAGCTGACATACCAGGATACAACTGAAATAGCACCTCTGATAAGCACTCCCTCTCCTCGAGGAGGCCTGGATCGCATCACACTCAAGCTTATCACCTTCGCCTTCCAAGGTGACAGCTGCACTGGGCTCAGGGCTTTCAATGGAGCAGGCTAAAAATGTGCACCCTCTGTGGTTTCCAGAAAGAAAGAAGGGAGATAGGGACAAAAAGATAAAAGTGATCCTTGGAGTTGACCCGAGATGTGTCTGGAGTAAATGCCACTTCTTCAGCGTGAAGGCAGGGCTGTGGGTACCCCTGTCCCAGCCTGTCCTGAGGCTGAGGAAGCATCGTCATGTGTGTAACCCTAGACTAGACACATATGTGCAGGTGTATATGTATTTATGTACAATATTGATGTATAATGTGCTATATATAATGTATGTAATTATACTGTCTCTAGTGAAATGAAAGTGTTAGTCGCTCAGTCGTGTCCAACTCTTTGCAACCCCATGGACTGTGGCCCACAGGCTCCTCTGTCCATGGAATTCTCCAGGCACAAATATTAGAGTGGATTGCCATTCCCTTCTCCAGGGGATAGAAATCCACGACAATAATTGTTATAAACTTTCCTAAACAGCCAATACCTTTATCTTTTCAGGGGTAAAATGCCCTGCAAAGTGAGTCACGTAGACAGAGATGCAAGTGAACATTTTCGTCATTGTTGATCTTATATATTCTGTGGGGAAAATGGGCTGCGTTTAGAGTTGAAAGGTCACTGTCTCTGGTCTTCCGGCCAAATGTTCATGGCTGTCCAGACCCGCTCAGGGTCTTGCTCGGGGTCGTGAGCCGGCACCAGCCCCAAGGTGAGGCGGATGGGGGTGGGTGGCATCAGCTATGCCTTCAGACCCTGTTTGTGCCTGGAGAGTTGCGGGTCACCCGGCGGATGGGAGGCCCTCCCAGGTTACCGAGTGGATGTGTTCCTGTACTTGGTGTGGTTGACACCACTGTTCTCAGCAAGTTTGTGTGGAATCACCAATGGTGCTGGGGTCATTCCATCCCTTTTCAATCTCTCGGGAGCCAGTGGACCACAGGCAGAATGCTTCTGTCTCTGCAGCACCCTGGATTAGTCTGGGCAGACATTCTCGTTACTGGAGATGACATTTGAGGGGCTCTCTCACAGTTCTGCGCCTGGGAAGAGCATTAGCACCATCCCTATAACTCGTGTCACGCTGGCTCCTGAGCTTCGGGCTCATAGAAATTCGGCTCCATTGTCCCTGGTGTTTCTGTTTTACATCACACATGGGTCAGTTAATGTATCAACTCGGTTGAACCTGGTCGTAATGCTGTCCTTCCCTCCTCAGGGCTACCAGGGCATGGTGGATGGCGGCAGCAACATTGTGGAAGCCGACTGGGAGAGCGTCTCCAGCATCCTGCAAGTGGTATGTGCTGCGCTTGTCTGGCTCAGTTCTTTGAGTTCTCTCTGGTCTGAAACCTTTCCTGCTTGTATTCCAGGAGCACCTAAAACAGGTGAATGTGCTGCCTGGCATCATGGAAAGAATACACTCTTAATTTTCCATTTAATTTTTTTTAAAAAAAGCTTTGCACACTGAGAAATTATTCTTGCAAGAACAAGTTGTGATTGATGGCTAGTGGTACTTGTGGGGGATCTTTTCTTTTTTAGAGCAGATCAGTGTTGAGACAGTTTTGGTTTGTTGGTGCTGCATGTTTAGTGGGGCGTCTCTTTGCCTGTTGGGTTTGGGGCACCGTTTGGCATCAGTGGCTGTGGCCTGGGAAGGCCCCTGACCAGCAGCCTCCGAGGGCTGTGGCTTTAGCGGGGACACAGCATCTCCCCTGACTCAGGGCTGACTTCCTTGGCATGTGCAACGATGAGGTAATTAGAACTGCAGGCGAAACAGCTCTTACATAGAGTTGAGAAGAAGCCTGCCCGAATATGTCATGCCCAATAAATTCCAGGAACAATGCAGCTCAGTGAAGGCTCCAAGTCAATTAAGAAATAAAGAGATTACGTGGAAAGAATGGACTTCATGAAAAGTGTTTTACTTGCGGTTTGATCTTTTGAAATGTATGTGTTAATATTAATCTGTGACTTGTCTTGAGTTTTTTAGAATTTTTATTGGCATACAGTTGTTCTACAATGTTGTGTTTCTGCTGTGCAAAGTGAATCAGTTCCAATATGTATGCATGGACGCCCTGTTTTTTTGGTTTCCTTCCCATTCAGGCCACCTGAGTAGAGTTCTCTGTGTTATACGGGAGGTTCTTAGCGGTTATTTTAAACATGGTATCAGTAGTGTATATGGGTCAATCCCAGTCTCCCAGTTGATCTCCCTCTCCCTCACCGTAATCATGTTTGTTCAGCACACCTCTTACTATTTTTGCCTTGCAAATAAGTTCATCTGTATCATTTTTCTAGATTCCTTGTATAAGCAATACTGTATGTGTTTTTCTCTTCCTGACCTCACCCTGTAATACAATCTCTCGGTCCATCCACTTGTCTGCAAATCACATTATTTCATTGCTTCTTATGGCTGACTATATTCCATTGTATTTATGTACCACATCTTTATCCATTCCTCTGTAGATGGATATTTAGGTTGCCGCAATGAAAATCGGGTGTGTGTCTCTTTGTGAATTATTGTTTTTTCCCCAAATACACCTAGGTGTGGGATTGCCATATCACACGGGAACTCTGTTTCTCATTTCTTCAGGAATGTCCACAATGCTCTCCATAGGGGCTGCACCTGCTTACACCCCACCAAGAGTGTAGGCAGACCCCCATCCCCCAGGCCCTCTGCAACACTTATTCTCTGTAGATCTTTTTGATGATGGCAGTCCTGAAAGGTGTGAATGGTACCTCAGTAGTTTTCATTTGCATTTCTCTAATAATCAGTGATGTGGAGTATCTTACCATGCTCTTTTTATTTGGGTAAGTATCACTGGCTTTCTTCTCCTTCTCCAGGAGAAGGAAATGGCAACCCACTCCAGTGTTCTTCCCTGGAGAATCCCAGGGACGGGGGAGCCTGGTGGGCTACCATCTATGGGGTCGCACAGAGTCGGACAAAACTGAAGCGATTTAGCAGCAACAGGTTATTGGCTTATTGGAAGCTGGCCCTGTTGTGATCTTTTCTGATGATTTTCTCCAGGAAATATATTAAGCAAAGGTCTCATTTCCAGCCCCGATGACTCTTGAACATGAAGACCCCAGCAACGCCTATTTTCAAGGTGTTGTTACAAACAGCGGTCACAAGGCGGCAGCATTTCTCCATGCCCAGCTCTGGTTTCTCAGGAAGCGGACCTTAGGGAAAGTCCTGTTGGTCGTCCCTTAGAGTGGACGTGTCAGAGGAAACACCCAGGGCTTGTGTCTCCTGACTTCTCCCCCTTACCCTTTTTGTCCCCTGAACACCTCCGCATTCCTGCAGCAGCAGTCTGGGGAAGGTGCTGTCATCCGTGGGTGAGGGGGCTCTCAGGAAGGAGGCTGGAGGTGGGAACCCCACCAGCAGAGCCGTGGAGCCCAGGTGACTGTCCAGAGCTCCTGCAGCCCTGAGGCCGCCCCTTCCTGTGGGGGCAGGAGGCCTGGACTCTGCAGGAGGGACCGCCCCCCACATCCAAGACTGTGGCTCGTGCAGAGGGTCCATCAGGGAGGGCTCGTGGGCCGGCATGTCCTCCTGCTCCCTCGGCCCAGGACGGTCTGGCCTGGGGGCCCAAGTGTTCCAGCTCCAGGGGTGTGACCCTAGCTCGGGTCACCAAGGCCCAAGGGGGACAGAGCCAGCATTTCTTTCTTCTTTTACTGTTTGTTTTGAATGGGAGTATATAGGTGATTTACCATGTTGTGTGGTTTTGTTTTTTAGGTGTACAGCCACTTGATTCACTTGCACTTAGTCATATATATATATATGTTTTTCTGGTTCTCTTCCCATATCAGTTATTACTGAGTGTTTTTTAGGGTTCCTGCGCTATCTAGTTGGGTTTTTTTATTAATATATACACACCATTATTTATCAAATAACCTCAACCTGCTAGTTTCTCCCTGCCCACCACCATTCCCTCTTGATAACCATAGGTTTCTAAGTCTGTGAGGCTGGTTCTGCTTTCTGAAGGAGTTCATTTGTCACCATTTTTAGATTCCACTAGGTCGTGGTATCTTGGAGTTTTGTCTTTCTGATTCTTACTTCACTTAGTGTGATTATCCTGAGACTGTACATCCTCCTGCAAATGGCATGCTTTTGTTCTTTTTCATGGCTGAGTCATATTCCATTGTGTACATATATCACTTGCTTTTATCCATTCATCTGGGCACAGTTTATTTATTCCCATGTCTTTGCTGTTGTAAAACTGCTCCCGTGCCTGCCTGGGTGCATGGTTTTCTCCCGAGTCTGGTTTTCTCCTCATATGCTCTTATGAGTGGAACAGCCAGATCACAGGGTAGCTGTTTGTTTATATTAATGCCTTCTAAATGCACTTCCATATTGCTGGCACCAGCTACATCCACCAGCATCATTAAAGGGTCCACTGTTCTTACCCCCACAGTGTACTTCTGTGGATTTTTGATAGTGTCCTTTTCCATTTCTCTGAGCTGATACCTCATTGTCATTTTTATCTTCTCATCTCTGATAATTTGCCATATTGAGCCATTCCTCATGTGTTTTAACATTGTAAACTGTATGTAGCTCATATTTTTTTGACAGTTTGCCCTGTTTTTAATTATTTTTGGTAAGTTACCCCTGGATTTTTTTGAGGGCAGGTATTATTTAGAGCCAAGCAGTCCTTTCTTCTGGATATTGTGTCCCTAAGCAGTAATTTTCTGGTTGCTCCTGTGGGGAATGGCCAGAACTCAGATTTCTATTTCGCTGGCACTTGTGGTGAGCCCGACTAAGAAGGGGAGCCGTGTTACCTGGGGCTGCTGGACATGGGGTTTCTCTGGCCGTGGCTTGTGACTGGCCCTGGCCCGCCTTAGGCTCAGAGAGCGTGCGGGGTCCCCCTCCCCATGGGATGGCTGTCATCCTCTTGTGGACTTCTCTCTGCTCCATGCGTTTAGCTGATGGCTGTGTCCTTGTTTTCCTGCCCTACTGTGTCCGCCGTGGGAGTGGGCCTGCGTCTTTAGCCATTGAATTCCAGTTTGGAGCTAAAAATGGAAAGACTCCAAATTTCCACGGTTGATCAACTGAAAAGACGAACAGCGGGAAATCTACGCCAAGTCCTGTGTTTATTCCCAGCACGCACGTGTTCAGGGGTCTGTGCAGTTGGGAAGAGACAGATAAACAGGTTTTTTTCTCTTCCAGGGAGGGACCATCATCGGCAGTGCCCGCTGCAAGGACTTCCGTTCTCGGGAAGGCCGCCTGAAGGCCGCGTGTAACTTGGTTCAGCTGGGCATCACCAGCCTGTGTGTGATTGGCGGGGACGGCAGCCTCACCGGGGCCCACATCTTCCAGACAGAGTGGAGCGGGCTGCTGGGAGAGCTGGCCCGAGACGGTGCGTCTCTGCTGCCCACCCCTCCCCGTCAGAGCGCTCCCACCACTGATATCCTGCCCCATGAACACCACAGGTGTTTGTTGCTGGCGGTGCTGCAGACCTCAAAGCCGCCACCTCAGGACTCAGATTTGTGGCTCAGATAATAACAAAAGTGATTATAAGAATAACGTTTATTCCAACATCCTACGTGCCAGGCATGGCTCCACTTTGACCCTGGTGGTTTTGTGCCCGCTTGGGACAACCATCCAGAGCTTCTGTGCCAATCCCCACTTTAGAGAGGAGGGTCAGGGGCTCAAGATGAAGCCACCTGGCCATGAGTGTGGCCCCGCTCACACCAGCCGTCACATGCCTGCGGCTGCCCCCGCCAGCTCCCTTGGGGTCCCTCCAGCCGTGGTACAAGACTTGGTCCTTTATCCCTTCCGAAGCTGTGTAGGAAAGGATTTTCGAGAATCCTGTATATCCTGTGATTTTTATCTTTTAAATGTGTTTTTATATAATTCCAATTTAATTTAAAATATGACCAGAGGAAGCCAACTGAAGTAAATAATAGCAACCTTGTGAAAGGTGTAAGCTTGAACTAAAGTGACAACCCACATGTTCCGTGAAGTCTGTCTGGGGAATGGAGGGTGGCTCTCAGGCCAGCACCAAGGGCCTCGTGATGCTTCTGCACCATGTCTGCTGTGAGGCAGGTGGGCATGGAGGTGACTTGGGTGGGGGGAACATCGCTGCCCCTGCCTTGACCTTGACCTTGACCTTTGTGGTCCCATTTAAGCAGCTCTACCAACCCTGGTGGTCTTTCCTGAGAGCGCCAAGTACATCTACCAAATAATGGGGCCCCACAGGCCTGTCAGGAGTCAGGGTACCAGTTGTACCATATCCTTGAGGACGGTCTGGCATGGTGACCCGTCATATTCAGACAGACGTCAGACAGAAGTCGCATCTTTTCCACCGGTCTCTGTGTGTGCTTCTTCCCTCCTCCAGCTTCTGTTCCTGGGTTGGTGCTCCTGTCTGTGTGTCAGGAGACTGCTCCCCGCTGTGTCCCTCCACCTCCATCTGGCTTTTACATCTGTCAGCATGCAGGGTTAGGTCCCGTGGACTTGACGCGGTGGGTTGGAGATGCGTGTAGGAGCACGCACTTCCCCGAGTCATCCCGGGCCTGCGGCTTGTCCCCACACAGGCAAGATCACCACAGAGCAGGTGCAGAAGCACGGGCACCTCAACGTGGTGGGGATGGTGGGCTCCATCGACAACGATTTCTGCGGCACCGACATGACCATCGGCACGGACTCAGCCCTACACCGCATCATCGAGGTGGTGGACGCCATCATGACGACCGCCCAGAGGTGAGGGACGTGGGGACCAGCAGGAGGGGGCTGTGTAGACCTCAGTGCCAGCTCTGGAAAGTTCCACAAGCCTTGTCGCTTGATATTAGAAACAGTTTTATATTGGTGCCATCAGTGGTTTTCGTGGTTTACTCTTTATTTTCAATTTTAAGAGTCACTGCTTTCTGATTGTAAAAGAAACTCGTTTATTGCAGAGAATTTAGAAAAATGAAAAAAATAAATCTTCATTACGTCAAGTCCTGCACAAAGCTCCCCTGCAGGAGTGGCGGACCGTAGAGCCCTGGGTTTGCACAGCCCTGGTCAGAGCTGGGCGAGCCCCCGCCCTGCACCTTCCTCACCTGGGGTTCCCACCAATGGATAAGGAGTGACCCCACGTTCCGGGTTGTAGGCTCAGGGCTGAACCTTTCCCATCACACCCTCCCTGGCTCCCTCAGGCTTCCAAAGCACCTTCACCAAAGTCAAGTGAGAGAGACAGTGGAACACGTGCCTCTGTCGTGGACCAGCACTTGCCACCATATTGGGGCCACGCCCGGGGAACCGTGGCTGGAGACAAACCTTGACCCCCGCTTGGGTCCCAGGGTTACTGATGGCAGTTAGTTTCCCGTTCGTGGAAAGGCCGTGGTCCTGGGTGCAGACCTGACTCTGTTGCTCTCGTCTCCCGAGCTGATGTGGTTCTGGCTGAAGAAGTCTGACTCTGCCCAGTGGAGCCCTCATCCTGGGAAGAGCATATATGCATGTCCTGGTGGCGTGAGCATGCCTGGCACGAGGACACAACCAGGGCGCTCACTGCTGCAGCCCCTTCACTCAGAAGAGCCTGAAACACACTCGCCATAGTGTTTGCTTGTGTGCAGAGTGGGTCGTCTGAGGGGGACAGCTGGGGCCCTGCCGTCTGCCCGGCTGTGCTAAGTGGACGCTTCTCTGTCTCTCTCCAGCCACCAGCGGACCTTCGTCCTGGAGGTGATGGGGAGACACTGCGGGTATGGTCACACGGTTGCAGTCGGGGTGGGGAGGTCCCCAGGGAGCCCCACACCCCAGCGTGAGCATCCTGGGAGGGGCATATCCCATCTGTGGGGCTCTCCTGGGCAGGGGCGCCCGGTCCCACCCCCTTGTGAAATCCCCGCTCTCTGCCCGCAGGTACCTGGCCCTGGTGAGCGCCCTGGCCTGCGGGGCCGACTGGGTCTTCCTTCCCGAGTCCCCACCGGAGGAAGGCTGGCAGGAAAACATGTGCGTCAAGCTCTCAGAGGTAACTTGCCTTCTGTCCCCTGTGGCTGCCGGCCTCTGGTCGCGCCGCCTGGCCTGTGGCGTGGTGGCCATGGGCATGTTCCGTGTCGACGGAGCTTTCAGCCCTTGGAGGATCTCTGCTCAGAGTGGCTTCAGGCTTGTGGCTGTGACCTGGGGGTGTCCCGTCCACCCACCTCCCGCTGTGGCAGAGACAGGTGAAGGAGAAGCAGCTGAGCTTTTGAGCCACTCATGCCAAGCGGGTGCTCAGCCATCCTTGGAGGAAGCCACGTGAGAGCCAGGGTCTGGGGAACACGGTGCTGCTGTCCCCTCAGAAAAAGGGCCTGTGAGTTAAGTCCCCCAGCTCTCTGCAGGCCAGGCCCCGGCAGCTCGCTCCCCAGAGGGAGCTGGCCTTGCTGTGGGTTTGGCTCAGGCCTTTCCTTTCTTTTATCTGTGGACTGTGCTCGTTTCACACCGTGAATCACTGTCAACATGCGTATTCTGTCCTTGTCAACATGCGTATCCCATCCCTGGTGTCAGACAGATTTCCTCTGCGAGGCGTTGCAGAAAACAAGGGGGCTTTCAGGATAGAAACTCTACCCCAATGTGTGGACTTTCCCTCCTCTTATTTTCATGACCATCTCACTACTGTTCTGTAGGCAAAAAATGGAAACCTATGGCAGAGGCCAGTTATCATTGTATTCAGCAAGCACATAAGCACTGCATGCAACCAGGACCCACGATCCATGAGACATGGCCTTCGCCTTCAAGGTGATGGGTTCCAAGAGCGCATTTCCAGCAACTAATCCAATACACTTTGACTCAAAAACCTGTGTAAGAGACTTGGTAAAGCCATCCCTTGGCTGGGAAGTTGATCCCTAGGTGGGGAAGATCCCCTGCAGAAGGGGAGGCTACAATCTGAAGATATATTTTTTGCAATACTCTAAAGTCTGCATTGGCTCTTGAATTATAGTATTGGCTGGGAAGATCCCCTGGAGGAGGGATAAGCTACCTACTTCAGAATTCTTGCCTGGAGAATCCCATGGACAGAGGAGCCTGGCAGGCTCTAGCCCATGGGGTCGCAGAGTTGGATACGACTGAGCAGCTTAGCACGCATGCATGTACAGCTGGGAGGAATCAGCCCTTTGAGGCTGGAGTCAGCTGCACAGGTCCCAGCGTGACCATGAGCACTGAAGTAACCTGTGAGCTCACTGTCCCTTGCTTCTGGCCTGGAGACGTGGGTGGTTCTCTGCTTCGTGAAGACCAGGCTGGGGCCCGGTTCCCAGGGAGATGACAGGAAGCTCTGTCTTCTGGGGTAGCCGGCAGGCCTCGTCTGCAGGAAAGACCTGGGAGCCCAGCCTCGGGGCTCATCACCATCTAGGGGTCCGGGTCAGAGACACTGGGAGCTTTTGACCTCCTGTGTCTGCAGGCCTGTCCCGCCTGTTCACCCTGGGCGCCTGGACCTGCTTGTATCCTTAGGAAGTGCTGCTGATGAAACCGGGTGACCATGTGTTCCTGGAGAGCCCAGTCAGTTGGGCAGAGGCCCCCATTTAGAGTGGTTTAAGCATCAGAGTGTTTCTTCTTCCATCTCCTAGAACCGTGCCCGGAAGAAAAGGTTGAACATCATCATTGTGGCTGAAGGGGCCATCGACACCCAGAACAAGCCTATCACCTCGGAGCAGATCAAGGAGGTGAGTGTGCTCCACGCCGTACCTGCCTGACAGTGGGCGGTTCCAACACTCGGGCAGGGTGAGGTTTGGAGCCGGGTGCCGTTAGGTTTCCTGTTCTTCTTGATGGTTGAAAATACCACCTTCATGACGACCGTGGCTTCACTGGCATGAGGATCTCACAGCTCCTGACTTCTAGGGAGCCCGTGCCTCTGGAATACTGTTGGGAATATACCTGAAGTCCCCAGGCTCTCCTGACAGACACAGAGGACATGAGATTGGATGGGGTTAGAAGGTTCCAGGATCCGGGGGGTCAGCACAGCCATCCTCTCTCCTGCTGGAGCATCAGCTGAGCCTTACTCATGGAGGAAGTGCTCTGCTGGCCTTAGTGACTTCTGTTCCACCCTGTGGGGGGCCAGCCCCATGCTCCTGTGGCTGCGGGGCTGCTCATCCGGCGCTGGCTTGTCCCGCCTGGGAGGGATTGCCTGGGCTCTTGGTCACCCAGGTAACCAGGCAGGTTCTGGACGTAGCGCTGGGGAGACGCCCACGGGCTCTGGTAGAAGCTGCCCATCAGGGAAGACATGTTATCAGCATGGCTTTGCCAGTTGGCATCTTGGCCTTTTCTGTGCCCCTGACCAGCTATCCACCTGGTGATTAAAATATCAAGAGATCTGTGACAGTTGTCTGCTGTTATTTACGGAAGTAATGAGTACGATCAGAGCAAAGATCTTCTTTCCCACCTAACTGAAGTTGAGATTGGACTGTGGAGTATGAGGGCCGGGGAGGGGGTGGGGGGCGGACCGTAGCAGTCCCATGCCCCAGCCCTGACATTTTTATAGAGTAAATGAGGGCCACGGGGGACAGGAGACCTGGCCTGGCCACCCGGCTGGGTTTTCGTGACCCTGGCCTGAGGTGATGCCTGGAGTTACTGTGTTGTGCTTTTCAAATACAACCTTACAAATTTAAGGTGATTCATGGAAAAGTTTACATTTTTATAAAGTATCCATGCTTTTAAATACAAGCTTTAGAAACAGTATCTTTAAAAACCTGTTTTAGTTATGTTCACTGGCAAAGTAGGAGAGACAATGGTTTTACCTGCAGTTAAAGCATTCTCTTTAAAAAAAAAAAAAAAGATTTTGGCAAGCTGTTGAACGTTCTTTGAGGAAGTAAAATTTAGAAACCAGGACATTCTTGCACATAGATGTGCATAAAGGGTGGAGCCCTTCCCCGGTCCCCAGCCCCCTGTCCTGGATGAGATGACATGCCCAGCCGTGTCCTGTTTCCCCTCAGCTCGTGGTCACGCAGCTGGGCTATGACACACGAGTGACCATCCTTGGACACGTGCAGAGAGGAGGGACGCCGTCAGCCTTTGACCGGATTCTGGTGAGTGAGGCTGGAGCTGGCCAGGCATGTCCCAAGGCAAGGAAAGCTTCTGGGATCGCAAAGGGACCAGGTTGCTACGAAGATTGGGAGGAACCATCAGTGAAGGCATCTCTGCCCACAGTGCTGAGTGACTTTTCCCTGAAGTCCCTGGGAGACCTGCTCACCAGGAGGGTTCCTTGGCCCCCAGCTACCCACTGGGAGACCCCATCAAACATGGGGGACAACACCCAGAAGGTGGAAAGGCAGTTTTCTTGTGCAGGTTTCTAGAAATGGACCCAGGGACCACAGAGACCCAGAGTGCAGTCTCTGTTTCCTGCTTTGCATGCCTCTGAGCCCCCAGCCCCTCTGGCTGGTTCTAACTGGAATTGAGCTCTTTGTTGGAGAGGGGTTAGAAGTAAGGGGGAAGGACTAAGTGACTAACAGAGACTCAGGGCAGGAGAAGCGAGGGGGATGCTGAGGATGCAGCTGGTCTTGTCTGGACCAGGCAGGCCTCTGCCCAGGGCAGCAAGCTGGGCTGCAGGTGGGCGGAGGGCTGGCTCTGACCGTCGTAATGCCATTTCTAGGCCAGCCGCATGGGGGTGGAGGCCGTGGTTGCCCTCCTGGAGGCCAGCCCCGAGACCCCAGCTTGTGTGGTGTCACTGAGTGGGAACCAGGCGGTGAGGCTGCCACTGATGGAGTGCGTACAGATGGTGAGTGTGGGCACGGGCTGGGTTCACCACAGGAGTGAATGACCTTCCCGAGGAACCCCCATCCTGAGGGGATGAATGGCAGAATGGGGGTGTCGGCTCCCATCTTGGTACTGTGACATGAGCACGCTGCGCCACCTCCACAGCAAGTCTAGCCTATCCTATGGGAGGGCATCTTCTGGGCGCTCGTGTGCTTCCTGGGAGGCTGGAGACAGCCCTGCAGGGACCAGGGTCTTCACAGGGCAGGAGGGACACCATCCAGCCTCTCCAGGGTCAGCCCCTCCTGCCCTCCCATCCCTGAGACCCTCACATCTGTGATGTGATACGTAGGGGGGGCCTCCCTCAGGTGACACCCCGATGTGCAGCACCTCCTCAGGCCCATTTCCCAGTGAACTGTCCACTAGGTGAGGCAGCCGTGGAGTTGCATTAGAAACTTACCATTTATTTTTCAAAGTCTCTTCATGACTGTCAATTTATTTGGTCTTCTCAGTGGCTCTGAGGTGTGTGTATTTTATAATGTGTACAGAGAGGTGATTAAGTCAAGGGACTTGTTGAAAGAAACCTTAGAAACGTACTTTCCATAAGCCTGTGGCAGTAAGTGAATCCTGTGTGTGTGCACGTGTGTGCATCTGTGTCTGAGTATGTATCATTCATGTGTGCCTGTGAGTGTGTGTGCAATGTGTCAGTGTGTGCATGTGCCATGCATGTATGTGCATGTGTGTGTGCACATGCCATGCATGTGTGTGCACATGGGGGTGTTTGTGCACATTTGTGTCTGTGTACATGTCATGTGTGTGTGTGTGAGTGTGCACATGCCATGTATGTGTATGAGTGCACGTGTGTGCGTGCATGTGTCATGTATGTATGTGCATGCTTGTGTACATATGTCCTGCATGTGTCTGTGGACATGCGCTATGCCTGTGTGTATGAGTGTGCACATGACGTGTGCACATGTGCATGTGGGAATGTGCGTGCACACACGTCTGTGTACACGTCATGCATATGTATGTATGAGTGTGCACATCATGCATGTGTATGAGTGCATGTGTTTGTGTGCATGTCATGCATGTGTGTGCATGCATGTATACACGTCATGCCTGTGTGTATGAGTGTGCACATGTCATGTATGCGTGTATGAGTGTGTGCACCTGTCATGCATGTGTGTGCATGTGTCATGTGTGGAGTGTGAGGCTGTGGCTCAGAAGAACAGAACATGGAACAACATGCAGTGGTTTACCCTGAGCACATTCACTTCTTCTGTCCAGTCTCTGTCAGTTTGGAGACAGAGGCGGCTGGTACCACTGGCTTGTCCTCGAACGACCATGCATCATGGTATCTCAGCCTGATGGTCGCAAGGCCACAGCCGGCCCCTCCCTGACCAGCTGCTGCTCACTGGGTCTCTTCCTAAGGGCCGGGAGTGTAGTCACCACCACACGGCTGAGGAAACTGAAGTTCAGAGAGAGGGGTGACTTGCCTGGGATCCCAGGGCTGAAAGGGGGAATTGCTGCTGGACCCCAAGTGCTCTGGCTCCAAGACCACCTGCCTCCAATCCTGTCCCTCTGCCCCTGCTCCCTGGGGAGTGAGGTGGTTTCTGTTGGCTCTTTCCTCACCAGAGTCAAAGGGGGTCATTCAGAGTCTGGCCTGGAAGACTCACCTCCTGGCCTTGCTCTCAGGGGGCAGGATCCCTGAGATCTCAGGACCTACTTACCCTGGCAGTGCCTCTAATCCTTTTCTATGAAGCAGGCTGGGTGGTGGCCAGGTGGTGTGGGCTCGCTGACCCCAGCTGCTGGCTGCAAGGTCGGACCCGAACAAACCCGGGATGGAAGGGCCCAGCTGGTTCTGTGTCCCCAGCCCAGATCCGGGGACACGCTGAGTCCTGACACATTCTTTCTTCCTTACAGACCCAGGAGGTACAAAAGGCAATGGATGAGAGGAGATTTAAGGACGCCGTGCAACTCCGAGGAAGGTGACTATTCTGAAAACTGTTTCCCCGAAGCCTCTGTTTTTCAGCATATGCCCAGGTCGCGTTGCTTCTGTCTCAACATAAGAAGCCAGAAATGAGACAGGAGGCACTGCTTCTGCTGGTGGATGGTCTGGGTGACTAATTAGAGGGAAATGTGTTTGTTTTATGGTGAGGTGGGGGTCATTCAGAAGCTGAGATGAGAGAGAGCCTGACATGTGGCTGCTAGCACTCCAGGAAAGAAACTAGCTGTGTCCTGGACGCAACACCCTCAGCCCTTCACACAGCGTCCATCCCAGTCACTGGGACAGCCTGGGGCTCCTCTCCAGACACGAAGCTGGAACCACAGTCACCCCTGCCCCGCACAGGCATCGTCTGGGGCCCCTTCTCCCCTGGAGAGCCCATCTACTCTGTCCTGCTCTCTAGCCTGTGGTCTGACTCTGGCCTTTTTTTCCAGGAGCTTCGAGAGCAACCTCAACACCTACAAGCGGTTGGCCATCAAGTTGCCGGACTCCGAGATCCCAAACGTAGGAGACCTTGCCCCCCGCACCCACCCCCCACCACCCTGATCCTCTCCTTTGCCTCGGACGAGGCCCGCGTCCTGCCCGGCTCGGTTCCCGCTTTGCGGAGGCCACCCCTTGCTGCTCCAGTGCGTCATTCCCACCCCCGCCCAGCCAGACCTTGCAGCCCCGGAGTCCCCGCGCCAGCCCATCACTTGCACATGCACTCGGGATGCAGCGGTGCCAGGGGGTTGGGGGGGTGCGCCTAGCCAGTGACCCGCACCCCCCCGCCCCGGCCCCCGACTTGCAGAGCAACTGCAATGTGGGCGTCGTGAACGTGGGTGCGCCTGCCGCCGGCATGAATGCAGCCGTGCGCGCTGCCGTGCGCGTAGGCATCTCCGAGGGGCACAAGATGTTCGCCGTGTATGATGGATTCGAGGGCTTCGCCAAAGGCCAGGTGGGTCCTGGGGGCGCCCGCGGGGAAGGGCTTCAGTGAAAGGCAGGTTCTGGATTTCTCAGAGGCAGTGGGGACTGCGTCTCTGGGGTCCCAGAACCAGGACATTAGGTGGGAAGGGGAGCAGGTGCACGTGAGGTAGTGGGGAGGTGTTCTTCATGTTCCGCAAATTCTTACAGACATGCCGCCTGTCAGAGGTGCAAACTTTGAGCTGTTTGTAAAGCCTTCTCCTTCCCTTTTTTTGTTCACTTCAGTTGCTTCTCTGTGTTTGCGCCTTAGATAAAGGAAATTGGCTGGGGAGATGTCGGAGGCTGGACGGGCCAAGGCGGCTCCATCCTTGGGACAAAACGGTACTTCTTCCGTCTTGATACTGACCTGCTCTCAGGGAGCAGGGTGCCGCATCCCGGGGAGAGGAACTGTGCGTCATTCATGTCCTGTCTGGGATCCGGGAGGGAAGGGATTGGCACCAGCTCGCGTCCGGGCCACACTCTGGGAGGGACCCAGGCCAGGTGTGGGGAGCAAATGAGATGTGGCCTTGAAGAGACACCAAGCAGAGGACCTGGGAGGGCTTCCCCGCTGGTCCCTTATTTCCCTCGTCGGTAGAAGCCAGTGGTGGCAGAAAGCCCTCATCCCGCGTGGGGCAGTGCAGACGTGGGTGCATAAGCTGTGGTGACTGCACTCTGCAGAGGAGCTGGATATGGCTCAGTGTCCAGGGAGCCCAGCCACCAGGTCCCCACTGCCCGAGGGAGGACCCGAGGGGCTCCACACAAAACCATAGGTTTCTGAACTGTGGCTGCTCCTGTTGTGGGCACAGTGAGGCCCAGAGGTGTTCCCACCAAGGTGCTGATTTAACACGAGGCTGTTTGCTCTCTCATCTCTGGGCGCAGTCATCACTGCATGTCCCATGTTATGTGGAAGGACAGTAGTGGGTACCTGGGCTCTAAGGGGTGTTGGATTCCACACAAGTGGTAGCCTGTCATCCAAGAGAATCATCCGTCTCTACCCTGCTCTGAAGCTGGGTACCCTGCCACCAGCGCTCTGTGGAGCTGACCTAGGTGTCCAGAGCTCTTGTGGTCCTGTTCCCCCAGCGCCCTCGGGGATGGTGTTCTGACAGCGGAGCTCCACGCAGGGCATGGGGCCCCCTGGCTGCCTCCTGGGCCTCTTCAGACCAACTGTGATACCCCAACTCGTCTGTTTCATGAGCGCCCCCATCCCAGGGGCTGCTCTGGGGGTGGCGGGGCTGGAGGAGTGGCTGGCAGCATGTTTTCACGATCCTTAGACGCTGGGGGACCCTCTAGTCGACTCTACATCCACTCATGTGCTGTGAGCGCCCAGCCCTATGACCTCTGTACACCTTCCCCGAGCGAAGCCCACCCCAAGTGAAGCCATGATGCCCAGGGGCCACAGCAGAAAGGTTGGGGTGGGTGCCGGGCGGGCTCTCACGATGGCCGAGTATCCTTTGCCTCCTCCACTTGCGGCCGTGTGTGGACAGAGGGTGGAACAGAACAAGGTGAGCATGTGTGCATGCAGGTGACTTTGAGTGAGATTACTCTGGATGAGTTGTGTGTACTCTGTACGTGACTCGAAAACTGGATGTTTCCATCCAGACGATTACCACTGTGAACGTTTGATAGCTTCCATGGTTCACCATGTCCCTAACCAGGCAGTGGGGGTTTCTGAGGTCCAGCTGTGAGGCAGCAGCAAAGTTTCTTCCCATAAGACTCTCTTTTGAGACCTGACTCCTGACTGCGCCCACCATGGGTGGCTCCCCAGCCACACTGTCCCCCAGCCAGGGCGCCCCCTGCCCCTGAGTGCCATGCTGCTTGGCCTCAGAAGGTGGGGCGCAGAGGGGGTCCTGCCTGAGCTCGCCCCCTTGAACCTCCCCAGCACCCTCCCTGGGAAGTACCTGGAAGACATCGCGGCGCAGATGCGAACCCACAGCATCAACGCACTCTTGATCATTGGTGGATTCGAGGTACGTCTGCTCCCCTGCTGGCCGGCGCTGCGGGTTTGAGAGGGGACCCCACGCCGGGTCCCGTGAGCACCCTGCCCTTGGCTCCTTGTCGGGACCGGGGGCCATGGAGCCACGGGCCCAGATGCCACTGAACACTGGTGATGCAGGACTCAGGGCCACTCACCCACCCGACCCCGTTGCTGGGCTGTCTGCTCAGTGAGTCCTCACGTCTGCTGGGTCTGTGGAGATGACCCTCTCTCACGAGTTGGCAGCCCATTGGTTACTCAGAGAGGAAGGCAGTTATGGGGCCAGATCTTTTAACTACCTGTTGGATTGTCTACCTTCATTTTTAAAATCAGCCTTATGATGACCTTGACATTTCCTTTAAAGAAAACATGAGAACCTCAAACAGTCAGACGCTCACCCGTGAGCAGCTTAGTCTTGCCCTGGGCCGACGCCCGGATAGCAATGCATGGCCACCCACCACCCACCCGCCCCCCACCTCACACACTCACCTGCAGGCCTACCTGGGGCTGCTGGAGCTGTTGGCCGCCCGGGAGAAGCACGAGGAGTTCTGTGTCCCCATGGTCATGGTCCCTGCCACCGTCTCCAACAACGTGCCCGGCTCCGACTTCAGCATCGGGGCGGACACCGCCCTCAACACCATCACTGATGTGAGTGTGGGCAGCAGGGCAGGGGCTGTGGAACTAACCCGGGCGCTGGCCCACTTTTATGTACCGTGTGCTCGAGACAGGCTGGTCCCGGGGTCTGCTGAAAAGTTTTTCTTTTTTAAAATAAAGGGATGTTGCTGGCGGCCCAGTGGCTAAGACTCCACGCTCCCGAGGCAGTGGGTGCAGGTTTGATCCCTGATTGGGGAACTATGGTTCTGCATGCTGACACGGCCAAAAAAGAGAGAAAAAAAAAAAAAGCCTGACAATCTACAATTCGGCCCCCAAAGATTTTCACCTCTGTTTCCCTTCGCTGCAGCCAGGGTAACATCATCGGTAGTTCAGCTAGTTTTGAGTCACAGTGATGTGGATATTTGATTAAACCCACCCCCTTTGTTTTTTGGCTGAGCTAAATTTCCCCCAAGCCTATAACACGTTATTGTGTTATTGTGATGAAACCTGGGTCCAGGGGCCTGTGCTTTGATGTTTGAGGGTAGGAGCTGGACTGATGATTTTGTGAGTTCATTCACTGACCTGGATCCTTTTAAATAATTGTCCTCCTTCTCCTGTTTGTGGACTGGGGATGATAAACCATATGTAAAAGAATACCGATGGTACCTGAATGTTTTTTTATCCCCCTAAAGTCCATAGAAAGCATAGAAATACATTTTAACTATCATAAATTTAAATCATACTTGGGAAATCGCTTGGGTGTTTGAAGATCAGTGAGGATCAGAATGCATAGCTTTTTTTTTTTTTCCAATTCAGTGTCTAGAATTTTCTGGTAAATTCTCAGGTTTTATTTTCCTTGGGAGACACAGGCCTCGTGGCTGTGTTTCTAGCTTTTTTCCCTTAAACCAATGGGCATCAAATCTGTCTCCAGTGCCGGTAGATAAAAGAAAAGCTTTTAAAGTAGGATGTATGCGGTAAGCAGTGCTTGGTGCTGGTTCCTTGCTTTCCTGAACCTCTTCAACTTTCTGCAGTTTCTGTACTAAAAAGCCTTCCGGCGTGGCCTTGGCCGGTGTCCGCGTGCTGGACCTCCTCACCCGTGTGCCCGCCCCTTGTGCCCCCGGGGATGCCGTCTGTGCTTCTGCTGCCGTGGGACTAACTCAGCCTCTGACCGCTCGCTGCTCAAGGTCTGAGTTGAAAGGTCGTGTGTCATTACTGCTCCCGCGTAGCTGGGTCTGAGTGCTCTCGCCACGCTTGCAGTAGAAGCAGCCGGAGTTCATGTCCTGATTGTCGCCTGATGAGACCCCGGGGGTGGCAGGCGCTCCGGGGGCGGTCGTTGGTGGGTCCTGACCAGGATCGGTGTGTGTCCCCTGTGACCTTCCACACACTCTCAGCAGGACAGGGTGCTCCCACTTATTCATCCAAGGCTCCTCTGCTATGAAGAGTTACTTTTCCAAGTGATAGAGAGTTCCTACACGTGGGTTGTTGAAAATCTGAAAACTAGGACAGGTCTGGGGAAATTCCACGTGGTCCTGCTTCCCTTCAAGGGGTTTTGAGATTTATTACATGGCCCTTAACACTCAGGCTTTTCTCTACTGGAGCTTCTCGGAGCCGGGGTCACTGTTGGTGATGGGCCAGGGCCGCCCCACAAATTGGGGTTGCTGCTCTGCTGCTAAGTTCGTGCCCAGTGGTCAGGCGGTGGTTGGGATGACCCTGTGCTGGGCCTGATCAGTGGGTCCTGGAGCTGGGGGATGGGAGGCCAACTGGCTCCTCAGCTTGTGTGTGTTGAGCCGCAGTGCAGTTCAGTCTCTCAGGAGGCCTGGGTTTGGTTGGCCCTCGGCTGGGCCAGGCACATTCAAGAAAGGGGCAGCAGGCAGGACCGTGCTGGCCCGAGGGTCATTGTTCCCGAGCCACCCTGGGAAGCAGGAGGCTCTTGGGCTTCCAGAGCCAGCTCAGCGTCTGTTTGTCTGTCTGGTCCGCCGTGCTCTCAGGACAGGCCTCTGTGGCCCGGGATCTGGGGTCTGGATGGTGGCATTGCCACCTCCTGGCCTCAGGGACAGCCCCAGGCACCTCCTGTCCCAGCCGCACTCTTCCACTCACAGGCCAGGGTGGTCTGGTGGTGACTTTGTCCCCAAAGTCTGCGATATTTGGGGGCACCCTGGCCGTCAGAACTGGGCGGCAGGGGGTGGGGAGGTGGGGCATGGTGTCTGGTGAGTATCAGCCTGGATGCTGCTGACCCCGTGATGTCAGGATGACCCCACAGCCTGGGGTCCTCAGCTGGAATATCCCAGGGGGCCGAGGGGGTGAACCCTGAGGTGGCCTGGTGTCGTCAGGTGGCACATCCTCTGGACACTTAACCCTTGTCCTCACGTCCCCTCCTCGTCAGTCTGTGTGCTGAGCTTATGGATGCGTTCCTGGAAACAGATCCCAGGGGACTTACTCCATCACGAGGTGCCAGGGTCCTGGGGGTAGCACTGGTCCTCAGGGCTCGAGTTCAGAGAGTCCGAAACCAAAGCAGGGGCTGTGTCTCCTCCTCTGGGCCACACACTGGTCCCCTTCAGAGCCACAGCTGACATGAGCTCAATGCTGCCCAGGCGGCTGGCTCACCCAGCATTGCCCCCAGGACCCTGGGCTTATGTCCTAGGTAGGGTTCTCCTGGCTCTGAGTGTCCGTCTCATTTTCCAGAGATCAGAGGAAAAGCAGGGAGTGATGGGGGTCAGAGAGAGGGTGGGAAGAATGTACAGGTGGAGAACCGCCGTCAGATTTCAAGGTGTCAGCGTCCTGCCCACCTCCTGTGCTGGGTGCCCCCCACCCAAAGCATCCTGCGGGGTGCAGACAGCCTGGGAGCCCGTCTAACCACAGGGCTCACCACCCCTCCATCCAGCAGGCATCCAGGCAGCCCCACGGTGGCCCTGAGCTGCATGGGGGCTGGGGAGATTCCCCGTGGGGATCTGGGCTGGACTGCGTGGGGGGTGGTTGAGGACGGTGGTGGGGCACAGGGCTGGTGAGCAACCCCCTGAACTTCTTCATGGCCGCTCCCTGGACTCACCCAGTGTGGGCCCACCGTCCACACCTCCTAGGGCCATAGCCCCCAGAACCCAGCCTGTCTGGGAGTCTGGGGATGGAAGTGGCAGGGCCAGCAGAGAGCCACGCTTTCCGGAAAGCCCGGATCATCCTGCCGGGAATTTCCCCTCACAAGGCATTGGAAATGGCTCCAAGTGGGAGCAATAAAGATGGGGCAGAGGCTGGGTTCTGTGAGCATGGCCATGGGGCACTGTGGCCTCAGGGGTGGGTGGTGGACTGGGACACTAACAAGCTACTTGCACTAACGCGGAGGTGGGAGGTCTGGGCCCTGGTCGTGTGCTTGAGAGCAGCCTGCTTTTCTGACATCGGAGCCCAACGGTTTCCCGGGGATCCTGAATCCCGCCCTGGGCTCTCTGTGAGGGTCACACAGCCGGGGCGGAGGGGGCTCTGTGGGCGTCCGAGGTGTCCGAGGTGTCCCGGCAGCCTGGCCCCTAAGGTCCCACCAAGTGGCCGCCCACATCTCCTCCTGATGCCAGAAAGGCCTGGCTGCTCGTCCACCACTAACCCTGCGCCGCCTTAGCCCTGCTCTGCTGCCCACCTGCCCAAGCCTGTGTGCTCTGGGCCTGCACCCGAGTCCCCCCTGCTGGTCTCCCCTGCACCCCGAGTCCCCCCTGCTGGTCTCCCCTGCACCCCGAGTCCCCTCTGCTGGTCTCCCTGGCACCCCGAGTCCCCCTGCTGGTCCCCTGCACCCTGAGTCCCCCCTGCTGGTCTCCCCCGGCACCCCAAGTCCCCCAGTGTCCCCCAGTGCTGGTCTCCCCCTGCACCCCGAGTACCCCCTGCTGGTCCCCTGCACCCCGAGTCCCCCAGTGCTGGTCTCCCCCTGCACCCCGAGTCCCCCTGCTGGTCTCCCCTGCACCCCGAGTCCCCCACTGCTGGTCTCCCCTGCACCCTGAGTCCCCCTGCTGGTCCCCTGCACCCCGAGTCCCCCTGCTGGTCTCCCCCTGCACCCGAGTCCCCCACTGCTGGTCTCCCCCTTCACCTCAAGTCCCCCTGCTGGTCTCCCCTGCACCCCGAGTCCCCCAGTGCTGGTCTCCCCTGCACCCCGAGTCCCCCTGCTGGTCTCCCCCTGCACCCAGAGTCCCCACTGCTGGTCTCCCCTGCACCCAGAGTCCCCCCTGGTGGTCTCCCCCTGCACCTCGAGCCCCCCCAGGTCTCTCCCCTGCAGCTTCCTCCCCATTGGCCGTCATGGATGTGGGTTCCCTGCTGACCTGCCCCCGCTCCGCTCAGGCTTTCCGGAGCTTGCTGGAGCTGTCGAAGAAACGCGACAGCCACCCTGAGTTTTGCATCCCCGTTTGTATGGTGCCTGCCACCATTAGCAACAACGTCCCAGGCACAGACCTGAGCATAGGCTGTGACACGTGCCTGAACGTGATTGTGGAGGTAAGATCTTCACGTTTGCTCAAGGAGACGACCCGTCAGGGGTCCCACAGGGTCTGTCTTTCCCACTCAAGAAGAACCGGAACGGGGACCTGTTGGATGTTCCAGGGTGAATGAGCCCTGTTTCTCATCAGCTCAGGTTAGCACACAGTTTCCGCGAGGCCTGTCTCGGGGAGCCCACCTGTGCCAACTCTCGGTGGGCTGTTCCCCTGGGGGGCTCTCGGTGAGCCTGCTCCTGCCTACCAGGACAAAAGCCCCGAGGTGCCCCCAGGTGACCAGCAGCAGTGTGGTGTTGGAGGAGACAGAACGCAGAGCAAGGGGGTGGGCAGAGGGACCCGGTGCTGGGGGTATGAGAGTCCAGTGGAGCCCGCGTCAGGGAGGTGGGGAGGAGACGCCCTTCCTGAGGGGCTTCCCCCACAGTCCCTTCCAGCCCCATCCGAGTGGGGCCTCAGCAGGCCGGTGTCACCCAGGCTCCGAGAGACCAGCATCTCTGATCCCTGCCCACCTGGCACCCATCGGCACTGACCCTTGCCCATCAGCACCCTGCCGCCTGGCCTGTGCTGTGCACAGTGGGACCCATGTCCTCCCCCAGCGGGGACCAGATGCAGAGCCCCCTGTGCTGGAGGGTTCCTGTCTCAACTGGGCACAGAGCCCCAGTAAACGGCAGTTGAGCACAGGTTCTGAGCTGATGCTTAGACAGAGAGGCTGTCACCAGGACCTCTGCTGTCGAGGCCAGCGGGCACGTCCGGGTGGGGCCGAGACTTGGGTGCGTGGGCCTCACAGGAGGGGCTTTGCCAGCTGGTGGGGATAGCTGCTGTTCTGGGTCAGAAGGGGAGCCCACGAGACCTGCAGCCCAGGGGGCTTGTGCATCCCCCACCCTGAATTCCTGAGACAGAGGCCAGGCAGGCAGGTCTTAGTGCTCAAATGCCGCATGAAGCACCCGTGGACACCGCAGCCCTGTGGGTCTCCCCACCCAGCCAGGCATCCCCAGGCCTGAGCACCAGGAGGACAAGATGGGCGCATTGACTTGGTTTCTTTTCCTGTCTGGGCTTCTAGAGAACTTGGAGCTTCCCAGCTGCTGAAGTGCACCCTGGGTTTGGATGAGATCAGTCTGTTTTGGGGGAGGGTGGTGATCCATCACAGACTCTGGAGGGGTCATCAGGGGTGATGGAATGGGGCCCCTCTGTCATCACAGTGTTTGTCCACATTTAAAGCAAAGTCTTCGAGCAAAGGTCTCTCTGCTGGTGGTGGTACACTTGGGTGCACAAAGCCTTCTTCCCCCCATGTGTCCCGGAGCGTTTCAGGAGAAAACAGAGCAGGGCTCTGCACACCGCCCGAGGTCAGGGCCGGCCGCGGGGCAGTGTCCGCGTCTCCTGACTGTGTCCCCTTGTGCAGACATGTGACCGCATCAAGCAGTCAGCCAGTGGGACCAAGCGGCGCGTGTTCATCATCGAGACCATGGGCGGCTTCTGCGGCTACCTGGCCAACATGGGGGGACTGGCGGCTGGCGCAGATGCTGCCTATATCTTCGAGGAGCCCTTTGACATCCGGGACCTGCAGGTGAGTGGACGCAGGGCCCCAGGGGTCACTGCCCGACAGGTCCAGGGGTCTCAGGAAACCCCACCCCCCTATGTCGCGGACACCAGGGAGGCACTGTGAGCTCCATGGGTGGGGACAGGGCAACCCCTGGAACAGGTTCCGGGGTACCTGCTGCTTGTACCCCAAGCTTGTAACTGTCTCTTACACGCTCACCTGGGAAGCAGTTAACGCCCTCCCTGGAGGCCCTGCACCTGCGGGGACATGGACGTGCTAGGAGCCTGGGGCCTTGCTGGCTCATGGCCACCACATCCAGGCCTCGGGTGTGCAGGCAGCCAGAGCTCGGGGTCCCTGTGTGTCTGAGCCGGGGAAACTGTGCAGCACTGGAGGACAGACCCCCGCCCGGAGGAGCCCCTGGTCCCCTGTGGCCCAGGACACGGGGAGGACAATGTGGGGAGGGCTGCCCAGTGTCCCTGGGGAGGCTTGCCCCGGCCAAGACGCAGCTGAGGGAAGTGTCGCCCCCATAATCAGAACAGGAAACTCAGTCTGCCTGCTCTTCTGCAGCCGGCTTCCTTTGGAACCTATGCTCGTGTGTCCTCGCTCCCTTTTTCTTGCACACATCCTCTCTCAAGCTGTGTTCTTCCTTAGAAAATTCTCGTGCCTGAACGTGCCTGTTAGGCAGGGTCAGGAGTCTCTGTGTAAAGCCGGGTGACAGCCGTGTTCCTCTGAGATAGCAGGGGCAGGTGTTGGCCAGGGGCGTGGGGAGCAGCCTTAGGTGAGCACACAGTGACGTGTCCATGGGACGGCTCACCTCTCAGTCACCTCTGGACACGGAGCGGTGCACTGATGCCATGACCCCCTCCCCTCGCCGCGGCTGCGGTCTCCGTGGGCCGCTGTCCCCGGTGGGTGTCACTAACTGACACGTCACTGTCCACTGTCCCCTCTGCCACGAGGTCAGCTCAGAGCAGCCACGCCGGCCACACTTGGGGCAGTGCCCGGCACACAGCAGGTGACTAATCACAGTGTCCTGACTTTCCTAGTCCAACGTGGAGCACCTGACGGAGAAGATGAAGACCAGCATCCAGAGGGGGCTCGTGCTCAGGTAACGGCCCGTGGCCCCTGAACGCGGCTACTCCTCCTCCGCACGGGCTCGCTCTGCTCTGCGTTCAGACTAGCTGGCATTTAAGTGACTCAAGGGCCATTTTTAGAGATCCAGTTTTGCTTGGTTGTCAGTTTCTAAGATTCTTTCAGTGGTTTCTGTCATGATTCCGCCACAGTGATAAGGAGCGAGGGTGGCATGGTTGCTGGGGCAGGACGACCCTGGGCTTGTGTGTTGCAGGAATGAGAACTGCAGCGAGAACTACACCACCGACTTCATCTACCAGCTCTACTCCGAGGAGGGCAAAGGCGTGTTTGACTGCAGGAAGAATGTGCTGGGCCACATGCAGCAGGTGGGCTGTGGGCAGGGCATGGCCACACCCCTTTTCTCACTTGGATGGCCTGTGTTAGCCATTTTGTAAAAAGGAAGTGTATTCCTAAGTCAGTTCCACAGTGATTAAAATCAGCATCTGAACTATGTCATTATACCGGCGATCATCAGCCTCAGGAACACTTTGTGTTCTGACAGTTGAGCAGATAGGCTTTGTCAGAAAACCGTCCACTTCCATATACATAGTGACACCAGTTAAGTGAAAAGATGTGTTCAAATTAAGTACTTGATTCAGTCAGTCAATTCAGTCGCTCAGTCATGTCTGACTCTTTGCCACCCCATGGACTGCAGTACGCCAGGCCTCCCAGTCCATCACTAACTCCTGGAGCTTACTCAAACACATGTCCATTGAGTCGGTGATGCCATCCAACCATCTCATCCTCTGTCGTCCTCTTCTCCTCCTGCCTTCAATCTTTCCCAGCATCAAGGTCTTTTCCAATGAGTCAGTTCTTCACATCAGGTGGCCAAAGTATTGGAGCTTCAGCTTCAGCATCAGACCTTCCAATGAATATTCAGGACTGATTTCCTTTAGGATGGACTGGTTGGAGCTCCTTGCAGTACAAGGGACTCTCGAGAGTCTTCTCCAGCACCACAGTTCAAAAGCATCAATTCTTCGGCACTCTGCTTTCTTTAGAGTTCAGCTCTCACATCCATACATGACAACTGGAAGAATCATAGCTTTGACTAGATGGACCTTTGTTGGCAAAGTAATGTCTCTGCTTTTTAATACGCTGTCTAGGTTGGTCTTAACTTTTTTTCAGTAGTTTGATTCAGTATCAGGCCTTCATACCCATTTAAACTGGAGTGTCAGACATGGCAGTTCTTCAAGACCTGCGTGAAATCAGAGCGATTTGGACAGAATCTTGGGGTATGCACGTCAGCACACCCCAGACAGTGCAGGCGGTGGGAGTGGAGTCACGGGACCTGGTCCCCCTGACAGCAGGCCTGCCCATCACGTCTCAGTCCCTGTCTCAGGAGCTTGTAGTTCAGGGTCCATAAACTCACTGACTATCCTGAAGTTACACGATGGTGTGTATGGTGGGCGTGTGTAGGTCTTTCTGAAAGCGAGCCCAGAAAGTGAGCCCAGAGAGTGGACCAGCTTCTTAAGAGAACTGTGACTCTTCCCCACGGCCTCCCCAAGACAAGCTGAAGGGGTCCTGATGAAGATGCTGACATAAGGGGTCTAGTTGATTAAAAGCCGCCTCCTCCCGAAGCAGCGACACCTGACCAGGGGGTTTTGGCTGCAGGAGTGACAGGGTTTCTTATGGTTTGTTTGGTCCCAGCCACATACAAGGAGATAGAAACAGACCCCCAAACTCGTATTTACAAACTATAGTTTCTTAGAAATAGGATGTGAATTTTGTCAGTCATTGTAACTTCTGTTCCATTTTAAAAGCTAACAGCCAGGAAGGTGCTGGTGTCTAACTCTCATGTAACTCTGACCACCCACAGGGTGGGGCGCCTTCTCCGTTTGACAGAAACTTTGGAACCAAAATTTCCGCCAGAGCCATGCAGTGGATCAGCTCGAAGCTGAGGGAGTCTGCAGGGAAAGGTACCGACTGGTGGCAGGCGGTGTGGGTTGGGAGGGCCGTGCTCTGTGCGGGTGTGTTTCTGCCCCGTGTCCATCTGGCCTTGGGCTGCACGTGACTTCTGCGGCTGCTGCCTGTGACTCAGGTTATAACTAGGAATAAATGTACTTAAGGAAACGGAATGCTAATTACTGCAGGAGGCGCTCCGCTCATGTAGGAAGAAACTGCCTGCTCTGAGGGCCCCAGACCCACTGTGACCTTCCCTGTTTCTCTGCTGTGCTGACAGCGAGTTGGCTTTTACCTAAAATGCTTGGCACCTTCCATTATTCCTTTGTGGCCTCTCTTTTTGGGGAAGATGGCAAGGGATGGAGAGGCTCCTGGCTGGCTTCCTCCCCGGTGGGTCCTCCCTCCACCTCTGAGCCCCTCCCCGGGGCAGCAGCCTTGCAATCCTTCCTTCAGGGTCTGACTTTGCAGGATTAAACCTTCAAAGGCTCTGGTTTTGTGGTTTACACGAGGGGAGCTGGTCTCTGATATGGCCTGGGACCCACCTGGCCCTGAGCGAGTGGCCCCGGGGTCACAGTCACTGCCCAGGCCCAGCTAGGCCAGTTCTCCAGAACAGTCTCGCCCACCACATGCTCACTGGTGGGACCCCACCCTCCATGGGGTCACCCATCCGTGTCACCTCTGAGCTGTTGCTGTAATGGTGGATGTCCAGTCCCCCTGTGGCTGCCGGAGGCTAATCCTCCAGGTCAGCAGGGAGATGCCAGGCCCTTCCTGCTGGTCCAGCACTCTTGTTTATTCTGTTACCGCTTCATGTCATCTGATTGTTTGGGTTGTGTTATTTCCTAGAATTTAAAAACATTTTAAGAATTTTTGATATTGTATGTTGGAGAAGGGCCGATGTTTTATATTCTATGAGTCACAGGTTGCAAACATGTATCTCCCATTTGGCAAACCCTGTCATTTTCTGTTAAGGTTATCTTTTAATGAAGAGCTCTTAATTTAGCAATGTAGTCAGTTCTTTTAACTTTGTCCTTGAAGGTTTGAGCTTTTTGTTACTAAAATATTCACCTTTCACATTTGGTTTTTAGCCCACTTGAACTGGTATAACATGTAAGGTCTAATTTTTTTCCATGTGAATAATTACTTGGGTGTTGGCCACTGAAAAATCCATTCCCCTCAATATGCAGTACAATTAATCTCCATCCAAGAACAGGAACCCAGAAACTTAAGGGACTGTTTCTGGATTGTTTGGTTCTTTTTTGGCAGTTAGCAATCTTGCCAATATTCCAGCTTGACGATTACTCTCACCAGGTAGTCCTACCTGGGCTTTCTTCCAGCTTCAGCTATTCTTGACTCTTTGTGTCTATCAGTTTTGTTGGAGTTTTGGAGGTGGGGATTACATGTAAATAAAAAATGACATAAGTAACAAATAATTTGGAAGAACTGACTTTTTAAAAATATTTATCTTCTAATTCATGAACAATTTAATCTCCATATATTTAGACCCTTTGTTACTAAAGCATTATTTTTTATAAAGCTATTGACTATAAGTTTATTCCTTAGTGATTTTAAAAATATATTACTGTAGAGTATTATAATTTCTTACTGCTGGCATACAGAAATACAACTTATTTTTATACACTGATGTAAATTGTAGTAATTATGCATAAATGCATCTTTTCTTGGTTTTCTCACAGCATCTGCATGGATGTGTCTTATCTTGGTTTTCTCACACACAGCATCTGCATGGATGCATCTTTTCTTGGTTTTTACACACACAGCATCTGTATGCAAATCTTTTTTTTTTCCTTGACTTTTTATGGATGAGTTTCCTCCAGAGAAACCCCAACAGACGTAGTGACAGAACTCCTGTCTTGTCTCCTGGATAACACAGGGAACACTTCTGTGCTTCATGACTCAGAATCTCACTAATATTTAAGTGAAGTCTTTCTCCAACTTATTTGCTGACGGTCTTTGGTGGATACTGGATGCTCTGATGTTCGCTAAGGATTGTTTCAGCTGTGACAGCTAGGACACACTTTTGCATTGAATGAGATGGATGGTCCCTTGAATTTTCTTTAGCTGATTTGCTCATGTTACATTCACCTTGCCTCCTTGGCATGTACCCCCAACACCCGTAGGCTGCATCCCCCCTGTTCCCCTCTGTGCAGAGGACAGGCTTGTTCTAGCAGCCGATAAGCCTGGGGGTCCCCTGGGGAGAGCGCTTCTGAGTCTGATCTTGGATGTTTGATAAGCCTCTGCCTGTGTCCTGGCTGTGCTTCTGCTGTAGGCAGAGCTGAAGGCTGCATGTCTTCCGTATTTACAGACCTGCTTTTGTTTGAATCTGGGCAAGAAAATACACAATTGACCCTCTTCCCTGCAGTGCCTACAGCTCTCCGTGCCCCCTGCTCTCCAGACCTTGGTTATTTGTGCCAATACCTAGACCTCATCTCTCGTTTTCTTACATCGTCTTTCTACCTTTCATAGGAAGAAAATTTTTAAGTGACGACTCTGTGTGTGTGCTGGGAATCAGCAAGAGAAAACTGCTCTTCCAGCCCGTGGCGGAACTGAAGAAGCAGACAGACTTCGAGTAAGCGCCTGAGGTCTCCCCCCCGCAGGCACCGGATCCCCAAGGAGCAGTGGTGGTTGAAGCTACGGCCCCTCATGAAGATCCTGGCCAAGTACAAGGTCAGCTTCGAGGTGTCAGACGCCAGCCAGCTGGAGCCTGTGCAGCCCCGGGGCCCCGAGGAGCCGGCCGCCATCTAGCTGCTGCCCGCTTGCTGTCATGGTCCAGTTATTTATAAGCACTTTACGCGAGCGTCGTCCACATGAAGCCTGACCCCAGGCCCTGGTGCACGGGCCGCCTGTGCTGTCCTGTCTCCTGCTTGACAACCTGCGGATCCCGCAGAATTAAATGTTTGCTACAACTCCAACCACCGTGCCCAGTGTCTTTATTTTACATGGGAGTTGAACCTCGGGGTGTGCGGGCAGCTCTTAGGGTTCTATTGGCAGCAACAGGCAGGTGTTTCCTAGGGAATCTGACCTGACCACAGGTAAGGCAAAGTCACTGGAGGAAATAGGCAGTGCTCTGACCTGCAACACGTGGGTGATGCCCAGCGCACAGATGGCCCTGGACCAGGGAAGGTGATGCTCCCAAGGGGGAGTGGGGGATGCGCCCCAGAGTCTGCAGAGAAGGGGCCCCTGCCCCAGCCCTGTGTGCCCAGAGGAGGAGGAGGGGGATGGGGGAGAGTCAGTGCCCTTCGGAGCAGAGCCTGACTGGACACAGTTGCCCCGCAGCCAGTGAGTGGAGGGCAGCCTCGGGACACCTCATGCGTTTCTCCATAAAGTCCCTAAAAACTACTTTAGAAAATAGTCATTTAAAATAATGGCTAACGCACAGGTAGGTCAGAGTCACCTTTTAGTTTTAAAAGGCATGCACTAGGACAGTAAGGTAAAACAGCACTTAAAGCTTCAGAAAGTCTCAGACTATATATACTCTGTGCGTCTGTGGTGTTTGGTGAGTGATGATTTCCGTTATTTCTTCGTGAACACGATTTCCTTCTTCAAGACAGAGTTTTCATTTGACTTGCCAGACAAGACCTTAGGCAAAATTTTAAGAATGATATCAAATGATATCATGTATATATGATCATATATATTTGATATATAAATAATATATACACATGATCAAGAGTTTTGTTAAAAAAATAACTTAAAAGCTGAGGAAAGCAGGGCACTCAGCATCAGGAGGCAGGGTCACCGCTGTCTTATGACCACAACAGCTGCTTGGCGATGCTCACGTTGTCTAGTCACCGCTGTCTTATGACCCACGATGGGTCCTTAGCGATGCTCGCGTTGTCTGGCCCAAGCAGAGCCACGCCGTGTGCGCTTCTCCCGGTGTCCAGGTACCTGGAGGCAGTAGGGGAGCGGTCACTCAGGTGCCATGGGGTCACAGGGACTGGACACTAAGCACCCGGCTCCCACTCACCTGTTGCTCACGTTGACCAGGTCTTCATGGCCGACGGTGAAGAGCTGCTCACGGTGTATCTGCTTCATCTCATCCGAGAGGCCATACAGGAAGTGGTCCAGGCCTGAGAGCGAGTACAGGGGATGGGATGGGGTGGTTGTTGGGACACGCAGCCCCTCCCAGCTTTCACGCCCTGCTTCCACCACAGGTCTCAGCACTGCCCCTCATGTCCACTCCTCCTGACTCAGTTGAGACGTTGGGCAAAAGGGGAAGCACAATTTTGGGAGGATGAGTTCAGGCACCGTGGCTCCAGGTGTGTCTGCTACACTACGCACCTTTATCTGAAGGTGCCACTGGAGCATCCACGGCAGAGAAGACCGAGAGCTTTGCCTCGTCGATGTCTTGCTGGGTGAACCTCCCGGCCTTGGCCCAGTCGATGGCCTTTATAAAGGACTGCAGTGTTTCCGTGGAACGTGGATCCCTAGAGACCCGAGGGGTCAGAGGGGTCAGACACTGACGTTTACCAACAAGGGACAACCAAGTATGACGCACTGGTCCACACTTTGGGGTCATCAGAGGCTGTTTTCACATGGTACAGACGGCCCAGTGCTCTGGACACTGACGAGTGGCCGCACAAGCCACCAATGCTGTCCCTGGAGACCCACCCTGTCACCCTGCTAACTACCTCTGCCACCAAGACAGGGACTGGCCAGAGGGAACAGAAGACCCACATCAGACACCCCAGACGTAACAATGGCCCCTGTGGAGGCTGATCTCTGGCATCCTCCCTGAACACAGAATCCTCCAAGCTCCTCACTCACACAGGCATGTGGTCCCCAAAGCATCTGTGAAAAACGCCTTGTTTCTGACCCTCTGGAGACCCATAGCCCCTGCATGACTATGACCACGTCGAGCCCATGAGGAGCAGAGGGAAGCCCCTGCTTCGGAGGTGGCAGTCCTGCCCTGGGGCAGCGGGGCCATAGGACGGAGACGTGAGCAGGCAGGAGAGTCTATGGCCCTGGGGACCCAGCCCGGCCCCGAGAGTGTCCAGGTCATCTCCCACGTACCCTGGTCTCCAACCCCAGAGCTGTTGGAGACCCAGGGTTCCCAGGATTGTCTGTCCCCACTGCTGGTGTGGTGAGAACAGGGGAACGTCTTTCTGAAGCTGGCCCTGTGTGTAGCGCGCTCAGATTCACCTGTACGAGTACAGCGTGAACATCCCGCCATAGCTGAGCCGGGCACCTCCACCATAAGCTCCACCTTTTTCTCGAATTTCCGTGTGTAAGAATTTAGCAGTCATCAACCGTGCCAGGATCTTGAGGCTGAAAAGATAAAAAGATGCACATTAACAACAGCACAGCTAGCAGGACAGGAATGAACGTAACAGCGTGATCCACGAGGGCAAGAAAAATGTGAGCAAGGTGAGGCCTGGGTGACGGGAAGGATGGGGCGGGCCTACTCCCTCCTGCCCTGCCTCAGTACCCGGGTGTCTTAGGTACGTGGCCTCCACCATGAGTGCGACCCTCCCTTAGAAAACATGCTCCAACAGGGAAAGTCTGCCAGGCCCCCGCGTCCCCACGACGTCCACCGTGAGCAATGACAGCGCGCCGCCCTGCCCTGGGTCTTCTCTATGGCAGGGGGCACGTGTGGAAGGTCAGCCTGAGCTCCTGGGAGAGGTGGGGGCCCACAGACAGCTCTGCTACCTGGCAGGGACAGGGGGTGGGGAGGGGGGCTAAGGAATCCACCCACCCACAAATCTTTTTTCAGGAACTTCTATTTCTTTGATGTATGGGAAGTTAAGTCCCCACACCCAGGGGAACTGGTTCTTATCTGTTTCTAAACCCACATCTTGCTACTCAACAGAGCCACACACAGTCCTGCTCCTGAGGGCCCAGCCCCACGCACCTGGCGTGGTCCCGGGCTGCATACGGGGCGGTCCTGATGCACTCGGCAACGTAGTTCACGGGGAACGGGAGCAGGAAGTGCGTCTTCATCTGGCAGGGCTCAAAGGTGGGGTCCTGGGGCAAAGGCCAGGCTGTGTCAGTACCGTGTGGCCAGGAACCTCGAGGACCCAGAGCCCTGACCATGATGCCCTGGGCAGCAGCAGCAACCCCATCCACAGCTAACAGCACTGGCAACCTTGTTCCACACAACCTCTGCAGGGTGGAGGTGACACATCCCAGCCCACCCAGACCCCCTGGGTCACCTCACTCCACTCCCTTCCAGGGCCCTGAGCATGTGGCCCCATCTGGTCACTTTCCCAGGATAAGCGCCTTTGCCTTTCCTGGGGTAATCAGTGAGGGGGTGGGGGGTGGGTTGGGAGGTGACGTGATCCTGATATAGCAGTGATGTTTGAACAGAGGTGGACTGAACATGAGGCATCCACACAGACAGCACCTGGTGGTCTCAGACAGGCTGGCCATGCGGCAAAGTGGGCAGGGTGCGAGAGGAAGAGACTCACCATCACCAGCCTCCTTATGACTGGGCAGCTCCCGCTGGATGCCTTGGGTGCAGGTTTCTGGAAGTGAAACATTTCCCAGAGGAATGAGTAAACCCCAAAACGCACGTGAGCAGGTCAGGTACATTCTGGAAACAGCCTGGACGCTTAGGGTCCAGGCAGGATAGGCTCTGCGGCCCGAGTGTTCTTCCATTGTGAAGCTCGGGGAGCAGAAGTCCCCTTGTCTTGGGCTGCAGGGCGGGCCCCCAGCCTCACCTCCACCACGTGCGGGCACACGGGCCTCTGCTGCTTCTCACTCTGGCTGAGGCTTCTCAGGAAGGCCTCCAACACTCCCGCCACCTGCGACATCTGCTGGGCAGTCGCGTTCACAGAACATCTGTTTAAAACAGCGTGTGCACAGAACCATTACTGTGAAAAGATTACCAAACTGTAAAAACATATACATGTAAATGTACAAACAAAAGCTGAATAAACCAAAAGCCAAACATCACAGCCGTCTTCTTTCACCGCATGCTTTCCAGGTATGGAAAAGCCTGACCCTGCTCTCTGCCGGCTCAGAGCTCTGTGTCCCTGAGGACAGGAGGTGCAGAGAACAGACCCGCCCATAGTGCCTTCAGGACCATGGTCTCAGAACACACACTGTCCAGAGGAGGATAAACCTTCATTCAAGTAGCACTGTTAAGTAGTCAGAGGGTGGTGGTAGTTCTCCACCCTCTCAGAAAACATTTCTCTGTGGTTCCTCCAACCTCCACTGAATCAGACACTATCATAAAAAAGTGTCTGACAAACACTGAGAAGACCTGGGCTCTAGGATGCAAGCTATGGCCGCCCCCAAGCGCTCCCTCTGAAAAGCCTCTCCACACCACACTCAGCAACAAGGAGGTAAGTGCAGCTTGGAGGCCAGTGCGGCCCTACCTCAGGCTGTCACAGCTCAGCAGGTGTTTCCAGATACGCAAGAGCTTCCCCAGGACGGGCTGCAGGTCAGTCATCTCCGCAATTCTCTTCATCAGCAGCACCTGAATCAGAGAGCCCACAAGGAAAGCCTGACCAGACGTCCAGACACAGGGACATGGGGGTGTGTGTGTGGTTCTGTGCACGTGTGGGATTCGCACTTGCCCAGCTCGAGGGCAGGGAGCTGTGGGCTTGAGAAAATAAGGTGAGAGAGAATA